CTAAATATTACCTAGAGTTTTTCATGTTTTACTAGATATAAAATGTTAGGTTTTAGCAAGAAGAGGGGGGCTTTTTCTCTCAAGATAAGACATAGAAAACGCATCTTACTTTTTCAATTCAATATCTTTCCGTTATCACTACCTAAAAATTCTAAATTGATTTAGGTATTGGAGAATTTTTTACATGTAACAACCACTCCAACCATACAATTATCATCCGTAAAGTAAGCTCAAATCAATGAAGTGAGTTTCCAACATCATTAGTATCATAACCTGAATAGGATTGTAAATGCCTCGATGTATCCTAACCTCCATACTTGGAAAAATTACATTAAACAACATATTATCAAATATAATATCACATTTAGACCTGTACACTTTATTTGGATGGAATACAAAACATGTAAGAAATATAATAAATGAACTAAAACAAAAGGATGTCCTTAAACTGTCAAAAAATTGTTCACACTCACAATGTACTATGGACTAGAGTAATTTTTTTCCCCTTTGGTCCCTTAATTTTTTTCTTTGGTTATCTCCTTTAACTGCAAAATTAGTAGACAACTAGTTCAAATTTGTTGGCTAGGGATGAAATTGAAATATGAAGGGCCAACCTAGGAAATACACCAAGGATGAATAGTGTGTTTAAAGTTTATGAAAATAGTATAATTTAGTCCCTTAATTTTCAAACTTAAACCTTTTTAGACCCTTATGTTTTTATAAATTCAATTTTCATACACACCTTTTTTTCTATTTTTTCGGTCCCTTTTTAGCCACCATTATGATAGTCAAAATCTAGATAGATAGACAATACATTATTTGCTTTAATAAAAGATATGTTTTTTTTAAAAGACTAAATAGGGGTTGTTAGCCCCATAAAAAGATTAAAAAAATATAAGGCCTTGGTGTGCAAGTTTAACTTTTTTTTTAATAGGTTCATGACTAGTACCTAAAAGTACATTTTTATCAAGGTTTTACATCATCATTTTACACTTGAAGTATCAATAACTCCTTAACTAAAATATATTTTATACTACAAGTCTGATACCATAAGATATCTTTAATTTATAATAAATGTTCATCCCAAATGCAGGCCTATCACATAATTGAAA